ATCCGTCATTCCGATGCAGTTGCGCACATTTTAATAGAGGTAGCGCTTGAAAAGTGCACTTACCAGTACCCTACAAGGTGTGCTCCAGGTGACGTCCATTCACTCGCTTATGGCGAGTACGCGACCCCTTGCATTCACTAGCTGCCATTTTTCCGGCGCCATCTCATATACTCTGTATCTAGCTGCGTGAAAGTCATGTGACGAATCTTTATTCTGTTGACGTCATTGGAAAGCTGAATGAATGTTCTATTCGGAGGCGCTATTGCAATTTTAGCAAACTTTTGGGAACCAGTGCTGTGGAGTGATAAGGATAACCGAAGTTTTTTTGGCCCACCCTGCAGATATTGACATCAGTGCTGGGAGAAAAGTCCCTATGAACAGTTGCAGTTCAGTTACGTCGTATGGTTCTCGTATTTATAATGGACTCCCATGATAATCCATTTCACCGAATCGATATTAATCCCACGAAAGTCCATCGCGAGGATTTGAACCTTCGATTTTATTGAGTTGGTGCATGAAGCCGATAAAGAGCGTCGAACAAGAATTCAGTCCTTCCGTTTCCGTTCGGCCTTCCGTGTTTACTGTCTCTTCTCGAATGAGAATACAGCGGGGGAGTTTGAGCCGCTTGTCCACGCGATCGAAAGACCCAAGAGCAGCACGACGGGACGTTCTGACAGAGATTGCATTCATCCACGAAACGCCGCTTCCTCAAATGGAGAGGAGGCAGAAAAGAGGAGGGGAGATAGTTTCTTGGATATGACGTCACGCTGCTTCTTCGATGACGCACTGCTCCAAGCATTCCCAACGTCTTCTCTGGCTGTAGAGTGGGGCAAAAGAAATGGATTCTTGCTTGCAGGTGGAGGCCATCAGAAGCGCAATTATGACCCGTGGAGGCCCCATCTTTCATCCATTCTGGACATCTGTCCTCGTTCCATGCAGTCGAGGATGTTGACCACTCTGCTACGATCTCGACTGCCGAATTGGGAGGGTTCCTTTCGATTCCTTGATCCTCAAAAATCTAAAAACTCCTTTGCAGCCTCTTAGATTCGGACCTAGCCTAATTCTCAGCGTCAAGTTTCATACTGTTAGCGTAACGTTACAGCATAGCCCATGTAACCATGGGCAATGCTGTGACGTAAACCGCTTAGACATCCGGCAGTGATGATGTCTTTCCATTTTTCAAGCATTTCATGAAAGGTTGGGGAGAATCCAGCTTCTAATAGAATGGGTGGAGAAGCCGAGGGGAACCCCAATCTCTGTTTCATTGAGGCGATCGTCACAGTTTCATTCATCTATCTGCGGATGATGAATTTGAAGGAATGAAGGAATTTAAGGACGTGGAAGGGCTCTGGACTGGAGGGACCCCTTACTCTACAACAGGGATGTGCAACCCGCGGGACGCATGCGGCCCGTTGACCTGCTTCTTGCGGCCCGGTAATGCATAATGGGATAACATATAAGTTTCTTTGCGGCCCATCACAACTTTGGTCATCCCTTAGTACCAAGAGATAGACTGAGTCCTTTCACTTCCTTCTAATTTTTCCTACATATTGTATGTTCCGAGGAAGAAGGTTCTCAATGCCAAAGGCAATTTTTAGACGTTGGAATTTCCTAGGGGTGAGGAGGAGGTTCGGATCATCGGCCAATCAACGCGACCATATGCCCTCATATGCCCTGAGGACAGAAGAGGGAAGCCTTTTCCTTATGCATATTGTGGCCCGCGTCAAGAGTCACACATTTCCGTGCGGCCCACTGCCGATAAAGGTTGCACACCCCTGCTCGAGAACTAGTTGGTCCGCAGGAGCCACGAGTATCTTTTGTTCCTCTATCAGTTCATTCTGCCTGGCACTTCTCAGGAATAGACTCAAAATGGTTTATTACTTCCAAATTCGGTGAATCCAGTGAGGAGTGTCGAAAGTCGGTGACGAGGTTCCTTCCTAACAAAGCTTGCGCACGGTATCATCAGCCTTGGAACATTTCTAGTACAAAATGGAGGCATGCCGCTCTGATGCGTTCCAAAGCAACCGATAGCCATATCAGGATACGGTAAGGCTTCTAGTAATTCCAGGCACTCTCTTTATTCATTTCATTCTGTTAAAGAAGAATCTTTTGCCAAGAAATTGCCCGAATCGTAGTCCCTAGTTTGCAGGGATTCGTATGTACTGGCATGCCAGAAGCGCACAACTGCGTATGAGTGAGGAGAGGCAGTACTACATGGATGGCCTTACTATTTTTGTTTATGTCTCGGGTTGTGCCTTCTATTGACTTGGCAACCAAAGTTGCACCCTTCATAGAAAGCTTTTTCATGTGATTCTTTCTTGCGTTGCCTCATCATAATCGATCGATCTTTTTCCTCTGTATAAATAACATAGAATGAGAGTTGCCTTTACAAACAAATGTTAGGTCAGGTTTTCGAAACCGACTTCGCGGAAATGACTCCATGCTCAACGAGTCCATCCGCATACGTATATGAAGACATCGTGTCCCCGTGAAACTCATCCTGGGTCCAAGTGCGTAGTAAAAGATCAGGACTGTCGAATTTACTACTGCTCATTCTGTTTAAATAAGGAAATGTCTCCCCGTCATGGCGCTGCGAGATATTCAGGGGGCTTGCGCAGACTTTCATTCTTCTGGATTTGCAGGAAGAACATGCTCTATCTACTTAAGGATGCTCAAAGTCCGCAGAACCAGGAATACAAGGCAAAAAAATTGTAGACGAGGAAAATCAGTAGCAAATATGTTTTACTGGGAAATTGTTTTGGTAACTTTAACTTCTTTCCCATGCATAATAAGAATATTTTGACTCAAGTGTGATTAAATATGTCCAACCCCGCGACGACGAAACGAAGTAAGTCACTCACTCACTCCACTCGACCTTCCTTACTTGATTCGACGGCAATTTTATCCGGGTAGGTCGGGTTTTTATCGGAGTGAGCAACACGGTCATAAAGCATAGCAGTAAGTCAGCTCTCTAAATTCATTATTTTTGTACGCTATGTTGAGTCTAGAATAAAATTTGAAATGTTATCGGTGCTGCATTTATTCGTCGACATAACTTGAGTGGTGTGCACGATAGGGAATGAATTTGTTGGACTTGTGAGTGAAAAATAAGAAGTCAAGGCAGGAGGGGTGTGTTCGCAGGTTTACTGCTATCTTATATGTCCTGGGCGTGATGGTTTTCTTTCTCACATGGCTATGTGGTGGTGATACTCCTCCCTTTTCGCAGCTTCGGACTTCTACGGCATTGGAAATACATAAAATACCTGTACACATGTACAGGTATATATGTATTTTTAGCAACTCTCTGCATCATGCCATCCAGCCGATCCGTTTGATTGCTATCACTTAAGTTGCGATTTCTTCTTTTCCAACGAACCGGCTAGCCCTTTAGTTGGAAAGAGCTCTTAGACGAATGAAGAATTCTTTATCGTTTCTAGGTTCTGTGATAGCAAAATTCTTTGGAAAGGATCAATTGATAACTGAGAGATTGAGATTCCTCAGTGAAAACACCACGTTACGCTCCCCAAACTTGTTCCGGTCTTGACGGAACTTGACGGAGGATAATAAAAAAAATAAGAGCAGGACGTTTTTATCTCGTGCTGCTTGAGTACACCTTGTTTCGCTCTGATTTATTTGTACTGTTAAAGAGAGAAAGCGCATGGAGGGTATTTGAGGCATTTGTCAATACACTCCATGACATGAATTTGCCACCCTTTAGCAATGCCGAATTCCTGGTTTTTAACCTCTTGAGACTTCGTGTCCGATCAGATGGATATGAAGGTTGCTCTTCCGGGCAAGAGATCCCTGCCATTTATGGAGATAGGAAAATAAAAAATTGTTTTTTATTTTTATTTTATAAAGCGATTCGGAAAGGAAAATTGAGACGAGAACAATATTTACTTCACTTGAGCTTGAATTTAAAGTCACAGGGCACGTCATGACTTGTATTGTGCTCGGGGTAGTAAATTATGTGTAACTTTTTTTGCTCATTATCAACCTTGAGTAGAAAGTGCATACGGTTGATTTTTCATCTTTTTCAGGCGTCTGACGTGTACAGTTAAAAGCAACATGCATGGGAGAGTGGGTGGAAGAAACTTGGCAAATTTATCGCGTGCATATCATTTTACTGAAGGCTTGGACAACAAAGCCGGGGATAGGACTCTCCCCTCCATTCCCTTTCACAGTGCTTCTGATATTGTTTCGGATCCGCTCCGCTTCCGCAGATGAAATTACATGAATTTCAACTCCCTCTTTCCTTCCCTCCTTCTCCCTGCCATGAAACAAGAAAGGACCCAGAACCTCTGCTCCCATTCCTCATTAGTCCGTCTAGGGACTGAGATCGATGAGCCACCTTATCGTCTGTCGGCAACTTGATTCAATTTGTCACCTTCACAATGGGCAGGGATCGTCTCATCCCCTCAATCCCGTCTCTGTCCTTGGTCTCCCCTTTTGTCTCTACACTACTTCTACGGACTCGAGCAAGAAACGCTAAGGCAGACCTTTACCGCCGATGGAAAAGGTCTAAGATCAATCATATGTTTAAATATTTCCACGTGTACGAGGTAAACATACAGCCAAAATTATGATCACTCTTGAAATCGAGTTTTTGAATCAACGACTGAACACTAACGTTATTCAAAAAAATATATACGAGGTATGTTGCGGTGTCCCTGTGCATCAGAGCATGACAATTTTTCTGCTTACATTAAAGTCAATACACTGCCAGCAGAGAAAGGCAAGCTTCAAGACTTCCCTCTGTAGCAGTAATGCCGTCGTCTTTGCATGATAAAGACTGGACGAAAACGAAGAAGCGACGACGGCATTGACATTCTCATCTGGAGAGTGAATGGGAAGCGAAACATCCCCTTCTCTTTCCATATCTCGACTGGGAGGGAGCATGGCAACGCTTCTCCATTTCTCCCTATTGAAATCCGGGAACCGAAGTTCCCTGCTCTTTCACTAGAGGTCAGGCTCGGGCAGATCAGCTGAGGGGCTTCAGTTGAGATTTGGACTTCGCTGCGGTAACATCTCCTCCACTCCCTTCCTTCCTCCTGTTTTGCAGTCGAGGAATGCCCTGTCGTTCATGATTCCGTCTCCCCACGTCCCAATATGGGGACGCGGACCAGTGGGTCCCGTCTAAGATGCAGAAGACCCCATCACTGCTCGTGCTCGTGCTGATGGTCACCCTCGTGCCTACTTTCGCCTCTTTGCCTTCTACCATCAAAATTGGTGAGTAATTAAGATATTACTTGTTATGAATGGGTGTTGCAATAAAATGTGAAATGTGAAAATGAGAGGCATTGCAAAAAATTAGAAAAATAAATTTTAAAAAAGCAATGTTATAGAGACTAGTGGCTTTAACATCTCCTACTCCAGAAAATAATGAAATGCACCATTCAATGGCTGTAAAATAGAATGAAGCCTGACTGCTCGTGAGAAAGGCTTCATTTCCCGTGGGCCTGTCGCCTGTTACGTTCTGTTCCGAGGATCGGGCGTCACTAACACTGAACGTGATGAATCCCGAGAGCATAACAGGTCCGCATAATGAAGTCTTGAATGTGGTATCATATCGCATCCGTAACGGAGCCCCTAGGAAGGCGGATCGGCTTACAGAGCCGCTCTGGAACCCGATGATAAGCCTCTCCCGTCACGAAGCCTCATTCGCGTTTCCACGAATCCATACGAATGAGATGGAACCGGTGGGTCTAGTCAGGAAGAAAAGACTTGGAAATCCAAAGGAAAAGTCCTTTACCATCTCTTTTTCTTCGCCATCCTTGTGGGTCTCGAGGTTCCACAGGCATAGATCTTCACTGTTCATGATAGTCATGCCCGCACTCCTCGTACTGGAGGCTTCGGAGCGATTCGGAGTCCCTTCCACGCTTTTGTATTTTTCTTCTAGTAGCAGAATGCGAGAATCAGGCATCGCACTGTCCACAGGATCTGGGTGTATGTGTTCAATTCGTTCAGCATTTGGCCGACGAAACCATTCTCTCTTCCTCCTCGCCGTTGTCATGGAGACGCCTTCCTTTGTCCCCCACGTGTCAATATACTTGACGCCAATTATGATCGGTTTAGGGCAACTGGGGATTAAATGAGGTATACATGTGGAAACTTTCGTCCGGCAGAAGAAAGGAAATTATGGTGATGATGACAGAGCAAAATCAGATTCGACAATCGTGAAATAGATGCTTCGACGAAAGGAATTCATATACCAAGACTTGCCCTGATTCATGAGTGGAATGGCAGAGAGGGGAATGTCAGTGTTCGGTCGATGGTATGCGAATCGAAAAAAAGATTGGGAGGTATGTCATAGTTAAAAAATCTCATTGGAAGTACTGTTATGCTGTGTGGAAAATGACATCTTATATTTCGGAAGACCGGATATATTTTCTCCTTTTTTCGGTGGGGAAAAGGAGGTATTCAAAATTAGCCTTTTTTTCTGCCACTCCAGATTAATGCGTGGTGCCTATGAAAATAATCTTTCAAAAGACTTTCCTGAGTGTCAAAATGAAAAAAGTAATGCATGGATGTGAGACTACTTCCCCCGCGAGAGGGAGGATTGTTTGTTCGGTAAATGCCGAGACCGAGAGACAGCTTCTCAAGCCAATTTCTTTTGCACCCCGTTTCTAATCACTGAAATCCTATTTCGACAGAAGACAACGTCTCAAAGTCGAATGAGTTTCGGCATGGAAGTTTATTCACCTCCGAAAATGAACTTGATCCTGGAAGATCCCTAGCGTTTTCTCCCGAAAGCCGTGGGGAAAACGGGGAGGAACGCTTTATTTCTCACTTATTTTTCCTTCCATATTTGCCTGTGATGAAACCAGAAGGTCCCCCACATAAACGTGCCCGATTTAATCGTAGCAATGCACTCCATCTTCGTTTACGTTTCTTTGAGTCTCAGCAGTACACATGGAGCATAGAATCGCAATGAGATGTCATCTTCTGCTCTATTCATCGATGAATATTTTCATCCATATTACCTTCTAACCCTCGAGGTTAGAAGAAATCGCATCCTAAATAGGTATATGAATCCGGAAAGTCGACACACTGTAGCGTACAGTAAACTCCGCATAGAACAGCATTTTAGAGTATCGGTGCGGATTGAGCGGGGAAGTTTGCTCATACTTGCTTCTGCGCAAAATTGTTGGGGACTATCTTCACTTCCGTGACAGCAAACGTTGTGCTTTCACGCCCGTATGCTGTGCCATGGAGTTCATCACAACTCCCTTCACACATGAGCCACCTACAGAATGAGAGTTCTCTGCACGAGGAAAACGAAGAGTCGTAGCAAAAGTAGAGAAAAATTGAGCATATGGTCCATCGAAGTTCCCTTCTGAATGAAAGTCGCAATGTTTTAGTCTGACCTCTCTTAGCATTCCCGAAGGCCTAAAACCTCGTAGGGTACGGTGACAGTAACGAAGAAGCAAGGATCTATGCCTTTTCAGGACACTGTCCGTTTTACCCTCGTTTGTTTCTCTGTAATGAAACGATCCCTTCTCTTTCGCTATGGCCCCAAATGTTCTTCAAACTTTGGGTGGGGTGAGAAATTCCTGGGTTTTTCATAAGCACAAAGGGAATATAAAGGTAATTTGACTTCTTATGGGACGAGACAATATTGACATTTCCCCCAATTTTTATGCATGTGGACACAGGGGCCATGATAAAGGAAGAAGTGATATCTTTCCGGGATGAATCATCCCCGGACAGATGGGATGGAGGCCATCTCAACATAATTTATAAGTCGTAAGTAATTTGGCATGGTCGCTTTTCGAGGCGACCATGCTCCCTTACTATCTCTTCACTAAGGGAGAAAGGGTCTCGACCCACGACTTGACGACTTGACACGCAATATTGAGGTTTTCATATTCGATTATTCATGCAACGGGGGGGGGGGGTGAGGGGATAATTATATTTACTATGATGTGGACTTGATAGGGTAATGACATGAGATGGGCAGGAGCTATGCTCATGTCTTTCTGGTGGTCTATCCCCCTGAATTATGCGCTCACGTTTCTGGACATGTGGACTTCTGCGCATCATCCAATACGTATTCATTGGAGCAGAAAATATATTTCTCAATGAGTATGGACATACGAAGGAGAGCATGGGAGTCACTATTAATGAATTCGAAAAAGTCATTCGAAGAGTTGCAGTTGATAATTTATTTTAAAAATTTTGCTCTCGAGGGTGAAGAGGCTATTTCCTGTCCACTCTCAGAGTCTGACCACTGTTTACAAATCTAGCTATGTGAAGCCTAAGTTTGAATGTATATCTCTGGATGCAGACGTACAAGATACATCCAGTGGCACACTCTCATATCTTTTCTATACCTTGCTATTTTCCCTGTGCTGGGGAGGGGGAATCTAGCATTTTATGGCACCCTGTAAATACCGGGTGGCCCAAAAAGTCTCGAACTTTACACGCCTGCAGACGGTGTACCACATGAGTTATCAACAGGAAATTTGCAGGCTTTTATCTGCAATGTTTGCAGGCAATGAAACATTTGAAATCGATAGCAAACTACGTGAGCAACAATTTTTCTCCCGTGCGATGTTGAAAGAGCGAGTGTGCAAAGAAACGCGCCTGACCTCAATTAAAGAAATGTTTGATGGGTCGGTCCTCCATGGATGTGTCCTTGGATCGCGGGCCGAGACAACACGCAGGCAAACGCACTGGCACTCACTCATGTGACGACTTGTACGGAATGAGCTCTTACTCACGTTCAGGGCAAGGAGTTTCATTGAAATTTCCCTGAAATCACCTACATATATTGGGTGTGCCACACTGAAAATTTCAAGACAATGCTTCATATGAAATTCCGTCTTGCAGACGCACGAAGTTCTGGACTTTTTTTTGGGCCACCCGGTATTTTGTATTGTAAAATAAAAGGTTTTGCTGGGAACGATTCTTTACATTTACTGTTTTCTATCGACCAAGTAGCCAGTTAGTCCTTGCAAATTGAATCTGCCTCTATTCTTAGTCAACTGCAGATAATTCAGATAAGATGTGGCATATGTAAAACAGTAAATACGCTGGATCTTTTGATGATTGCCTCCAGAGGTCGTGACCCAAATGAAACCATCGGATAAACTTCATGGTTCTACTTATTACGTACCTTTGGTGCGCCTGGGGTACTATTATTCGAGTGTTCAATGCCTAATCCACTGCTGTGTGTCTCTCGAGTGATAATCAAAACAAAAATGAGATTTCTGAAGAAAAGGAGAAAACATGTCTAAGATGTATTGTAAGTGCTACATTAAATAATTGATATTTAAATAAACCTCTTAGAATTTTTTTACATGGGCTTCCAGTGGAAAGAAGCCAGGCTCTTATGGAGGGTTTCCAGCTTTAGTTACAAGCGTGTTTACAGCAGAAGACATTTTTAAAATCCTCTTTTGTTATTCAAAGAAAGGAGCTCAAAGTTTCATATTAAATTGGATACAAAGGTTTGAGGGGGAAATGTAGGCTTTTCGTGTTGTTTATTTAATCTCTAAGGTGGCAGGCGAATGCTACTATTTTTGGACACTCACCATTAGGTAACGTTGAATGCTCTAATTGAATCGGTTGACCTAGTTGCCTGCTAAGTCAGGGTCAGTATCTCTTTCGTCGAAAAATTGAAAATATTGTGATTGTATTTGGCAGGAGCGATATTTAGCGAGGATGAGAAGGGATCCCCAGCGGAGCTGGCCTTCCGGTATGCCGTCTTCCAGCTCAATCGGAATCGGACCCTTCTCACAGACAGCACAATCATGTATGACCTCAAATACGTCGCCCTCGACGACTCCTTCCAGCTCTCCAGGAGAGGTAAGTTGCCCCAAAACATAATTAGCACATTACAGTCTCATGTCACATTCGATTACATAAAATTGCATTTTTATATTGCATTACCTTATTATACTCATACCCAAGTTGAAACTGTCATCCTTCCATACTGGCGCAGTTTTCTAGACGATCAGGGACAGTGCAATTTTTTTTTTCACAATTAAAAATGTGGTTGCGCATCGTCCTCATGCCAAGATATTTCGTCCAACTGTTCATGCTGTTCGTAAAAGTAAAACAGAAGCAAGAAAACTATTGTCACTTTGATGACCTATATGTGAATTGCGGCAACTGACATTTGCTTCACAGTAAACTTTTCTTAAGTTTGCTGGTCTGAACGTTTTTCGCGGAGCACCTTGCAATGAAGCCAGAGCCGATTTCGGCTCGTGTTTTGATCGTCTTAGATACACTTGACATTCAGAAGACTAGTGACTAGCATCTTCACCAGTGATAGATGCCTTGAACAGATGGGCAGATGGATACCTTGGACAGATGCAATAACTTCAATTTAAAAAAAGTCATGCCATGGAAACGTATCAAGCTGAAATTCATACATTTCCAATTTACCTATAGATCGAATACATTTAATAATTATTGCTTTCTAAAAATGGGATCCTTAATGACTAGATGGATCCATTAAAACCTTTTGAAGAGATTCTGAGGGGGGGACGATATCATAGGGCTGAATTTCTATGAAGGATCCGCTGAGGAGGACGTACTGGGGGGAGATTAATGACTCGACGAGGAGATTCAGACATCAATCTCCCAACAGGGTGTCTGTCCCCCCTCCCTTCAACCCTCTATATCTTTTAGAGATGATGGCGTGAAAACTCATCGCCGTTTTCCGAACCTAATGGACGGCCGGGTCTCTTTCCCGTTTGGCCGGCTGCCACCCGATATTTATGGATCCTTCCATCTCCTCCAGATGGATTCCGATATGGATTTATCCCCATCCACATCTCTCCTCTTTTTTTTTTACAAGAGATATGATTCATTAGAGACAAGTTCATGAATGTAATGTGAGGTCAACTTCGGTTTAAATATAGAGAGCTCTTTGAGTAATTGAATTTAGGCTTGTGTTCGCCTCATTTGGGCAATCGGAGACAAAAAGGGACCAAAACTATAGCAAAAAAGAATTTTAAAAAAGAGGGCATCCGTGGGAGGAATAAGAAACTTGCTCCGTCATGGATCAGACGCCGCCTTTACTGACGTCGCACATTGGCCTACATAAGAGATCTAGGGAAGTCTAGAGATGGTACGAGATGCCCAAGTATATAATTACCAAATAGAGTATGAATCGTGCGAGATCGCGCCCTGTAAAGCTGGACATGAAGACTCCGGGAAGTAAGAATCTCTTGCGGAAACAATTAAATGCATTCAATTGGATATCGTGAATCCCAGCTTGTTGGCGAATACGCTACTAATGAATTTTGCTAATCTACTCGTTGAGAGAAACTTCCGTTTCAAATAGATTTACCTCGTTGAAAGAAATTCGAATAAACACTCATTTACCTTCATGTGAATGAATTTAGAGTGAATTCAGAGTGAATCGAGTTATCGCTTCTAAAATGAAGAGAAGGATGCTTACATTTTAAAATAAAAAAGCAGATTATTGCATTCGGGATTCGGATAATACTGCTTCTCGTGCAACAGAAATCATGATGACTTAAGAAAAAATAGTTATCATTTACCTGGAACCCTTGTATAGTTTGCAAACATGAAAGTGAAAATTAAACAAGGCTCCAATTCTTCGAACATATCAATCACCTTCATTCTGTCAGCCAATCAGTCACCTAAAAGAATGAAAAAATGCTTGAATTACCTCCTTTTTTTTTTTTTTTAGAGGAGGCTGTATTCTTCCGCATCTATCATATTCGACATGCTAATCGATTTCAGAATTCTCAGAGAGATTTGCATCTCTAGTGGTTGGAGGGGGTCTTTTCCTCGACGGCGGTTCGACTCCATTCCCTTCCCCAAGCACAGTCCAAAATCCGTATCCATGGTTAATGGTACCTTTCAGAGACTTATTTCGTCATCGCAACCGGTAATCATCTGCAACTAGATGCAGCTAGAGAGACAAGGCAACCACTCATGACAGGCCCATAATTTTGCATAATATCCATATGCATCCATAGAGGTATAGACGTTTAGGGTTTTCTGCCTATAATGTATGTTACAGTCTGCAGGTAACTTTGCACAGGCGCAGACTTTTGTATTCAATGTTTAAATTTCCCTTACTAGCGTACGTCATTGGGGTGAATTCCTTTAGAAGCTAATGCTAAGTGAGCTAGGTTTTACAGTCTTGCTCGGACCGTTTACCGGTCGAGGAGGGGTAGTGCGATCTGCACGATCCCTGGCCTCAAGCCCCGAAGAGCCCTTCACATAGATCCATAGAATCTCTCCTTTAGCTATTCCCATCGAATAGCAATTATTATTGTTATCTGTTCGACAGTTTTCTCATCGAGCATCTTCGTTTGGCCTTGTCGTGAAAAACTTGGAATTTGGGTTTTCACTACCGAGTGGAGAGAGAAACTCCATAATTTAACCTTGCTCTTTGTGCCAATGGTTTTCCTGAAAACCTCCCATGATGACAAAAGTAGTCATTTTTCCATGGTCAAGGTGGCCACGGTAATGTGAAACTGATAATAATAATATCCTATCATTTCCACCATGAGCGGTATGCAACCAATTGTCATCATGTCCGCTTATTGGTGGTTTTATCAATTTTCCTGGAAATGCCCTAAAATTCGAGAAATTCCTGAGATAATTTTTTTTTGCTTTGGACTTTCAATACTTCAAAATATTAAAATATTAACGGTTCGAGAGGCAAAAAATGGACTACCTGAATAATGTACCATTCACCACTAGGTCATTGCGCTACAAATCGAGGAACCATTTGTTGGATGAAGATGGAGTGCAGTAGATACGACATAGAGTGTTGCAGGTATAGACAAAAAAAGAGGGAGAGGAATCTGTTGGCGATCCGGAGTCATTAAGTGGGTGGTCGTTCACTGGGAGGCAGGGAATGGATGAAGACAGATCACCCCCTTTCCTCCTCTTTCCCCCTTTTGTTCTTCCATGGACCTGCCTTCACGATTCTATGGACCTTCCTTTGTCACTCCTAACATATCGCGTTGTATTTCATTGGAGGGCAGATTCTGCCTTGATAAATACGCTAATAACGCCATCGTCGTCCACATCATCACAAATGATCTTTAGCATATACCATAGAGTCTATTCAGATTTTATCATTAACTTCATCTTCAGTTTGTCAGAATTTCAACATATCCATGGACATGGTTTATTCATGGGAAGTAAGGCCACTCAGGTATGCAAAACGGATTAGTATTATTATCACAGCTCACTGAAGTATTATCATAGTCAACGCTCAAGTGCAAAAAGAACTATTCCTTGTTCATTCAATATTCGGGGGGTACTTCAAGATCCGAAATAAGAAAATATGCACAGTCGTTGATAAAATTTTATCTAGAAAAGAAACCGCCAAAATGCTTGATCTCCTGTAAGTTCATACTAGAAGGAAAGTTGTAAACGTAGTGGAGGAATTTTTTTTTAGCCTGTGATCAGGTGGAATTTGGAGCATCGGCGTTCATCGGCCCAACGGATCCATTTCTGGGCTCCCATTTGGGATCAGTGAGTAGCAGCCTAGGGATCCCATTGATGGAGGCCCGCGTGGACACAGAACCAAAGTCCCCGATGAACAGCAGTTCGAAGAGGCCCTCCCTCGCAGTGAACCTCTTCCCGACCAACCATCTCCTGGCCAAGTCCATCCTCGACCTCATTCAGTTCCTCAATTGGACCCGCGTCGCTGTCATCTACGATGACGACTTCGGTAAGAAGCACGTAATTATATTTCCTTACGACTTGTTCACAGGAAGAGTGGCTACCGGCATACCCTTATTGCATTTCCATTTTTTCTAATGGCAAAAAATAAGGGAGTATCAATGAAGCGCATGCGTTGGATAAGCCGTACTTCCCCTGAATAAGCGGAAGTGTGTGATATTTTCGGAGAAAAGCTACGTACTTATAAATAAAGAGAGACTGAATGAACTTTCTCTTCCATTACGAAATTCGTATTCAATAGTCCTCTATGGACAAATTTAGCATACCAGTAAATGTCCCACGAGAAGGACCCCAAACGGTCATATTTGGGACTAGTCAACAAATCTCTGCAATGTTTTCCAGTTTGGATTGCATTTGCTTACAATATGCTCAGTTAAGATTGTTCGCTAGTCATAGGGAATTTCATGAGAAACAGTTTCATTTTTTTATGTATTGCGCGCCGAGCTAAGTTTTTCTCAAATCAGCCTCTTCCGTTGGAATATTGCTTCACGTGCATTTTCTACATGAAGTGATGGAATGCTGTATGAACTGCTTCAATAGTCTTCAAATAGATGGCCCAGTTTCGAATAGAAGAATCGTAAATTCCTATTTTTGAAGTAATTTTTCTTGTGCCAGTGCTTGTAAATTTATTGAGCACGTTTCCAATCTTATCTTAGCAATTTTCGATTAAGGGCATCATTCAAGGAGTTACAGACAACGCACTACATTGTAACGACCTTGCCTGAATGCACTTTCGATTGATCTCTTCATACCGGGAGGAAAAGATGATGCGTGAAAAATCATGGGTTCTCTTGAAAGGGCAGAAGTGTTTGGAAGGTCTCAGGAGAAAAGAAGGAAAAAATAGGGAAGCCTCAGAAATGCCAGTTTTCCTCGATCGACGCGGAGAAATCAATGCAGTTTCTTCACGGCATTTCCCTCCCTCCCTCGCATTAGTTTCTCTCTCCCCCGCTTCTAGTCTCGTTTTCCATTATTCTTTCTATCATCCCATTTCACGCATTTCCCTTCGCATTCTTTCCGTCTAGATTATTAGTCAAGGATGACGTTAGATCAATGACTTTTCCTCTGTTTTTAGACGAATATTCCATTGAGAGAAATCGATGATTTTCCACCGAATCCATTTGTAAATTGCTTAACGGAGCCATATCCATTTGATTAGGGTGCTGCTTTCGTTTGTAAATGTAGGAAAATGTTTCAGGGAAACTTATCTGGTGAATTAACCGGGATCACATGTGGTCGAAGTAAGCCATTGAGCTTTTCGAATACAAAATGCAGAGGCTGCTGAAGGAAGGCATTTTCTACCTGGCTTCGCATGTCAACAACCATGTCACAAGGTCATACATAGTGACAGTCAACAAAAGCCCAGATCCAGTGCATCTCCTTTTTGCTCCTGCCATATCATTCGGAACTTGGCCCAATCGCAAGCGCTATTCGATGCAAACTCGCGCAAAAGCAAGATGGAGCCTAAGGGGAAATAAAAATTGTCGATTAGCAGAATGTAAATATTATCACCAATTTAAAGCAGAGCATGACACAATGTGATAGAGCATACCGAAGGAGGTCGAGTGCATAGACATTGTGCACAGCCTGCAATGTGCGTAGTCCCGCCGGTCACATAAGTCGAGCGTGAGTCCTCCACCATTTTCACCCATTTCTAAATTCTCACGTGGATGTTGGGGTGAGCTTGACTGTAAGGTAAAGTGGTAGACGAGGGTTCATCAATTCATTGATATTTAGTGAAAAGGTGGCATGTGAGAAGGGGACCAAAATGAATTTAAAATTCAGTTAAATAACATGAAGAAGGGCGAACCAGCAACTGAGAGAAAAAGGGCAAATGCATAAATATCATCTAGTGGAGGTCACCAAACTTGCAGATGGGAAAGATGTGTTGAAGACGGATGAAAAAGGCGTGCAAGGAGTCCGAAGGTGGGACTTAACGCCAAGGTTCAATCAAAGGCTGACAAGGGCTAAGGCTTGTAAGACAAGCCAAAGCAATCCAGACAGAACTGGGTGATGACAACGGCCGCTCTCCTTACATTGAACCAGTTAGGTTCAATCTCAAGCCTTCGGTATTTCGGAGAGAAGAAAGATTCTGGCCTTATCAATTACTCTATCGCCAGCATAGAAAGACACCATGTGCACAACAGCGACTGGCACGTAAAGTGCAACCAGTCGAGCACCGATGAAATGGAGGGGGTGAAGAGAAACAGGGTTATATAAGGGAGAAGAGCCAGCAAGGCCAGACAGTGCCAATTGCAATGAGAGCTGGAATAGGAAGTGAAAGTGAAACCTTCGAAAAGGATGAACCCTCGATAAGAAAAGCACATGAACTTATGTAAATTTAACGAGTAAATTTAACAGGATGATTTGGCTGACACGTTTCAAAAGCAGAAAAAGAAGCATTTACATTCAGGTGCGAAATAAGACTACATTATGATACCCACCTGTAGGGCCGCCCAGAGGTTTCCAGGGGCCCGGGGCAAAACTAAACCGGAGGGCCTCTAAAGGCCCTTTAGAGGCCCTCCCTTATCCCGTATCAAGGGGTCCTTGGGGCCCCTTGATACGCGGGGCCCGGGGCAGATTGCCCCATTTGCCCCCCCCCCCCTCTGGGCGGCCCTGCCCACCTGTTCGACTGACCTAAGAGGATCCACATATCTGTACCATTATCTATTAAGGAATTCTCGTTTAGAATGAAAATTTTCCATTAGGTAAGCCTGAATTGTAATTCTTGAATGAAATGCAGACGACTCGTTTTCATCATCTTTGCCATAATTTCTCGATGTTTTCTTATGCATTGCTAGATCTGATCAAGCTGCAGGGTCTGATTCAGGGTGGGTGGAAATGGTCTCGGCGGCACCCTGAAATCACCCTGAGCAGGGGTGAGCCACCCTTCTATCGGAACGCGCTCAGAGACATCAAGGAAGAGGAAATCTTCAACATCGTCGTGGATACCAGTCCCCTGCACATCTCCACCTTCCTTCGCGGAGTTAGTCCTCTAAAAATTTTCTTTGTGCACGTTAACAAGTATCACAGAAAGCAAAAAATGAAAAATGAATTGAAATGGTTTATACTCCTTGTTTATCACCGTATTCATCCAGCAAGACCTAGTTCGTCGGGGAAGGGGGGGAGGGAAATGAAATTGAAGTTACAAAAAAAAGAGAAGGAAAGATAACCTGAGGTAGGTGATGGTAGTGGGGTAGTGGCGATGGTAGCGGTGATTGTAACAGATAACTTATTCAACAAGAAAATGCGACAGCCGTAGGAGGATGGGTTGATGAGTATGTTGGGTTGAAAGTTGGAGCCCTTTGGACTCCAACATTCTTTAATTTTGCGTTCATCTCGAGAAGATTCCTTCTTTGACAAGTTTTCGATGGACCCTGTCATTTTGCGTGCTACACTTCGCTTCCACATTGAACACCTTCTCATCAAAGAACAGGATGCGATCTACTTTGGCGTGAATCGTCGAAGCAGAGCTCGATATTTTTCCTTTCTGGCAAGCTTGGTCTGTTGGTTGAGCATTTGACTCTTTCGCATCTTCAAAGGCTTCAACCCAAGATTCTCTTTCAACACTCGCGTTATGGTTGTGAGGGAGGTATCAATCTCGATCGCCAATTTTCGGCCTGAACGCCAAAGGTTCCGCGTCTTCACATTCTTGACAAGCTTCGGCGTGCGACCAAAGAAAGTGGTCGGCCAGTATGTTTCCTGTCATTGACACTTCCAATCTCGTGGTTACGCCCAAGAGTACGATTAGCGAAATTTTGCTTGTAACTGCTGGACTTGAATTGCCGAAATATGCTCCCTGGGCTTTGCCCATTCTAGAAAAGCTCGATCGCAGTTGCACGCTTCAACTTCAAGGCGTCCATAACGCAAATCGTAAAGCAGCACAATATTGAAATTTTATCCACGCATATATACACGTTGGTTGGAACATACGGGCCAATAACAGAATGGAAGGACTCTCTTGAGCTCATTTAGCCAATATTGAAATTTGTATGAGATATTATGGCTCACCCTGTAATTACAAATGTGAAAGATGGGAATGTTCCTGATGGTGTTCCCAGGGGATGCTACAAAACTTATTTCTTCCAGCTCTTGACGATCACGAAATGTTTCTTGTTTTAAGCCTGGTTCCAAAAGACAGTGCACCTGTGCATCTTGGATTGATCTTGGACGAGTGGTTGAGTGAAATGTCTCCTGGGAGATTGGTTGGATGTTGCAGCTCAATCACTTGACCAGACACCATTGGGTTTTCAACAATGGAGTGATAAGAAATCCCAGGTTTACATATTGATATATATACTGTATATAAAAAACAAATGAATATTTGGAACAACGTATCAGGAACACCATCAGGAACGTACCCATCCATTATATCATTATGAGGTGATGGTAGACCTGTATTAGAAATCAAAGCACTCATATGTAACAAACTAGTCCATCTGGTATATCTGCTCATCCTATCAATTTAACAATAAAAAATTTGTATTGAAATTATGGAGGCGCAAAATCCATTAGTAAATTCCGTGGTCACTCTGTATTATTTCAAAGTGTTTTATACTTGCAAAATAGTGGATAAAGAGGTGGAACCAATGCTTAACATCTACGAAAGTTGCCAACTCCAATGGCCTCCCTTACGAAAAGATCCTATAGGATCCGATGAGATTTTTGAAACATAAAAATCTTATAGGATTCTTATAGGAATCCCATAGAGTTCCGTTAGGATCCTATAGGATTCTTATAGAATCCTATAGGAATCCTATAAGACCCCTATAAGAATCCTATAGGAATCCTATAAGAACCCTATAAGAATCCTATAGGAATTCTATGAGATTTTTAAGTTTCAAAAATCTTATAGGATCCTATAGGATCTTTTCGTAAGGGCTACAACTCAAATAATGAAACACCACAGTAATCGAAGTATTTTGGCTGATACATTTTCAAAATAAGGTCTCAAACGTTGTCTTTATGGCGATTAAGCGTGAATTTTCTTTGTGGGGCACATTGAGAGCCGTATACTTCTCTGAAGAACGTAAAAAGCAGAAACATTGAAAACAATCCCAGATCTGAGGGGCACAAAAATACTATTACCTGACATACATCAGTGATCTCGACATGCGCGAAAAAATCTTGGCTGTATTGGCACTGAAGTGTGAGTCGAATCATCGTTCGCAACGTCGACAACGAACGAGATGACAGCACGAACTATTTTATGAAGGCAGTCAAGCAGCGAAGCGAATATGAACCGTTGAACAAGCTCTGCGATGATGAGCAGAAGACTTAACTTCGTCTTTCATGAGATGCCGCCCTGACCGAATATTTTTCTTCGCTTCCAAAGCTTTCCAATTGAAGGAGCTAGATAGCATAAGAGGCAAACAGGCCAGGACCATTTATTATTTTAACAAAGAATAGATACCCATTCGGGTACTCGTTTAATTTATTTCATGATTCATAGCTGCTGCTTGCAAGAATCTATGAACGACCCTTTTTCTCATTCTGCGCCTATTTTAAAATTGATTTCTTTAGCTTATCAAAATCCCTACTAGTACACTTTTCCATCGGCATTATGCGCATTCGTTTCGTCCTTTCTCAAATATCATACGATTTCTACTGCTTCCATTACAGTTACTCCAATTGCAGATGAATGATGACCGGTACCACTACATCTTCACCTCCTTCGTGAGTTTCAGACCATTTAATAAATTATTTTTTGCATAAAAACCAAATCAGGCGAACGAATTGTTTTCTAAGGACCTGGAGACGGTGGACCTCGAGGATATGACACATAACGGGGTGAACATCACCGCCTTCCGGCTTGTGGACAGCGGGAATCCCCGAGTCAAATCTATACTGAACGACATGGAACGATTTCAACCTGTTGGACATTCCCTGCTGAACCGGTCTGGAGTTCTTCAGGTAGTTCAATGATCAAAAAGTATCGTTAGCTTAAAAATGCTTACCTGCATCCACCGGGAGCGAACGACCGGGGGAAGATAGGGGGATAGGAAGTGGATTTGCAACGAGGATGTTCTACCTAAACGATATCCAGCTGGGCATGCCCCCCACGTGCATTTGGGATCAGGTGGATGTCTCCCCCTGGATTGATTTGGAACCAGAAGGGCATCCCTCCTGCAAATGGATTTCTGCCTTGAGGGGTATCCACCTGGTTCCAAATCCACCTGGGGGTTGACGTTTTGTAGAAGGATAGGTGAAGGATAATGGTCGGGACTTTTTGGGAATTCCACCGATTCCTTGCTATCCTTCAGGGGAACATGATGTGGCATTCGTTTTAGGCTAAAATCGAGAAATATATAGATATTGACGATGCCTAGGGGTCCCGATAAAAAAAAATTCAGAGGAAGAGGTGCTGGGGAGTCTAGGATAAACCTTTTTTTCTTTCATGTCGACGACAAAGCTTCCCGCACACGAGACCATTTTGGTTGTTCCACCGTGGCGCTATCGTCGCGTGCATGAGGTAACCGCCAAGCAATGTGATTGGCGATGCTGCTGGAACGCGCACCAATTACGAGAGATAAGAATGTTTGTGTGACAACACGGTAATTCGTGAATACGCTATAACTTTCACTTCGACATTATTACCTAGACGGAAGCGGAAGAGAGAGAAGAGAGTTGTAGGAAATGGTGAATGTGGCCATGGGTTGCAATGTCAATAGAAAAATACCCCTTAGACTCGTTTGTGAAGGAACTATTGGGCAATGCTCATGGTTCACTGGATCCAAATGGATATCAGGACATTTGTAAGTCTCCTGGATCTGATTTTGGAGGTTCATGTGTGTAAGTGGATCAGCTTATATTTTACTTTACTGGACTGCATGAGGAAACGTTATAGTCATATTGTATTAATCCCGGAGACGTTCAATAAATATGGGGACAAATGAAGGTGGAGGGCATGTAGCACTGCAGCAACGGGCGATAGGGCATGGTACGATACCTTAATGTCCTGTGGACAGTTTTCAAGGGGTGAAACCACCAGACGTATGCTCTGCGCAGTACATCGTTCAAAGATTGCGTCCATGATCATTGGAAGCAAATACAAAAACGACTGGTTGTAGGACTGTTGCTATGTGCTACTGGTGCTGCATCCGCAAAAATTCATCGACAGGTGTAAGCAATGTATGTCGTCATGAGCTTAGTTGGAAGGGAGACATCCCTGCGTCGCTCACATGCGTCGCTCACTCATTATCTTGCATGACAACGCTCGGCCACGTGCTGTCTGTCGGACTCAGGGAGACCCTTGTCGACATGGGATGGGATAAATGCCAACATCCTCCTTATCGGTCCCATCTAGCCCCATGAAGCGTTCGCTTGTTAACCCACTGAAAGCTTGGCCCTCTGAAGGCAGATTTACGAGGATGCCAGTTCACCTTGGACTAGGATGTTAGATTATATGTACGGTGGTGACAAGCTCACCAGTCTACATCCTTCTAAGCTACGGGCATACTGAAATTAGTATCACAATGGGACAAGGGCCTAAATGTGTATGAAGGTTATGTGGATAAATAAGAGGGGAGGTATATCTACCCACCCGACTGTCTTTAATTATACGTCTATTTGTTCCCCTATTTATTGAATGTTCCTCATAGTTACAGTTATACTGTATAGTTATTAATGCTCGTATCTTTAATTATAATTTTGCATTCATATACCTGTGCAGTTCTTTTCTAATTTTCTTGAAGTATCAGTGTATGAAGTGCTCCGTGACAGCACACTAATAGCCTCCCCAAACCCAGAAAAAATGAAACTCATAGGATTTGACACGTGTACATACCACCCAAGTCTTTGGAGGTTAAGCAATTCAAGTGAACAATGTGCCATAGCATAGCATAAATGATATTCCAGTTTAATATATTCAGCATTGAAAGAGGTACTGCAACGTACAGCAGGTTGATGTGATGGGAAGGTTTTAACGTGCGGATCTTGTCTTTTTCTTTTAATCAGCATACTTTTGGCTGCTAATTGATTGACGTGTTATGCCTCCATCAAGTTCGACATTCGGTCCTTTAAAAATCAATGTGGACCTGAACTTGCTGATAGAAGTCCTACTGGGAATCAGTGCAAGAGTACTAGAAGCACGGATCAATGGAAAGAGCTTCTATATCACTTGGGTGGGAAATGTTTGAGTTTGATACTGGTATACTACAAACTGGCAACGTTGGTTGCATCTAGGTCCAGCGGTTACTTTTATGTGCGGCTAATGTGAATAACCAACAAAGGGCAAACGTGTTCTGACTTCAGAGGATCACAATTGGTCTACACAAGCCCCCTCCCCCTCCAAAAAAAAGGCTAACTGGGCATGGCCTTTGTCGGAATCCCACGAATAAGATGTGGGCATGACGTCGAACCCTTGTATGCCTGTCCCATGGCCCCATGGGCCAACATTAAACGCCTCTCATGACCAAGTTGGCGTGCCTTTTAGGCCCTTGAAAGATTCCCAGAGTTTACGTCTATTTCTTCATATTATTGCTCTGCTTCCCTTCTGGAGACCTTCATTCCGTCGAGTCCCTTTCAGTCCGGCTGGAAGGACTGCAAGTACTGTAGTCTTCCATCGTCTCTTTCCGAGGTTTTAGCTTCCTTCACGGGATTAAATCCAAGATTGGTTTCTTCTATCATACATCTGGTTCTTTTCTCACTCAGGAATTACATGTCAACTAAGATCTCTTGGGTGATCCCTTTTATCACACCAGAATCTACCTTCATAGAAGAGCAGACACGACCTCTACAATCAGAGTAAAAGGCTTCTTCTCATCCTCATCCCATGAAATCAGGTCCATAATCGAACCCTAATTTTAATTTTAATCCTCTTTCAAGAGTTCTCGCCGTCTTTCATTGAGAAGGGGAAAAGGGAAGCAGATCGGTTGCATTTTACATTTGATGGGGTATCCTCATGCGATATCCAAAAATCAGTTGACTCTCGCATCGAGCATACATGGTAAGAACAAATAAGCGATTGATGCTATAAAATAGAGAGTGCAATCTTATATATTATAGATGACTTGCAGCCAGTGGCGTATTTTGGCTGAGAGGTCAGGGGGGGCAGGGCAACAGCGCGGGGGCGCCAAACCCCACCCGAGCGATACCAGGTGAGGAAATTATTACCTCCAAGGGGGCGCCAAGCTCTGTCCCAGGGGCGCCAGGGGGGGGGGGGGCGGCTGCCCCCTCTGCCCCCCGTAAAATACGCCACTGCTTGCAGCCCAATACACGTGCAAGAAGTGATTGCAAGCACTTGGGACACCATTTGGACTTCCGCCCTTAGACTAAAGAGAGGCCTCAATCGTCAGCCCACTGCGCTGTCGAGCAACTCTTTCTCCTTCACAGCCAACGTTGGTCCAACTTAGTGTGCCGTCTGGGATCGCGTGGAGCGACGCTCGCGCCTGAGAAGAAAAAAGAAATTGCCTCTTGTTGGTCGCACTTAATTCCAAAAGTTATATCTTTACTCGATTGCTCGAAACTAGGGACATAGACGCGAATAGGTGAAGCCCAATTCCCACCACACCACAAAGATAAGTTAAGCTTAGCTCGCCGGAGCGAAATCATGAAAACTTAGGTGTGGGAAGTCCTGCTTGAAGAAAGGCGAGAAATGTGTTACGTCACCTTGCAACCCACCTACCACAGTGGTCTAGTGACTCACCTGTGAATTAGTGCCACGTTTAACATTGCCTGCATAGGCTTAATGTCGTTTCCATCGCGGGAGATATGCTCTCACCTTCTTGAAAGTGCCATAGAAATAACATTGCGCAATGTAAAAGGTGGTATGAATTCGTTTGCAAAAAAACTGTTTGTGCACTCCCCTTCCTCTAGGACAGGGCTTCCCAACCCAGCGATTGCGACCCCGTTTGGGGTCGCAAAGATAATATTTGGGGTCGCGAACCGGTAACTAAATGCAAAGTTATGTTTTTCTTTGCAATTTTAGCGCATAGGTAGGGGAGCCTGTCTAACTTCGCTCAGTGCATGGGGTCGTGAATAGTACGAAAGTGATTTTTGGGGTCGCGCGTGGAAAAGGTTGGGAAGCCCTACTCTATGACAGTGATTCTCAAACTCCCTTTTACTTCCATAGAAGATCCGTGTGTTCGGTGGTCCGCAGACCACAGATTGAGAGCCACTGCTCTAGGAGATTCACCCAACAAAAGAAAACTCTGCCCCAATATGCCTACTCGGTTGTGGCTGGCAGATTCGCCCTCGCGAAAGCTTTACTTGCTCCACTGATTCACTTTTGCTTTTGAACTAGAGATGGGGCATGCAACCCTTATTTGAAGTAGGTTGAAAATTTTAAACTCTTCACGCGGGCCATTGAACGCAAGAGAAGAGGTTCCCCTCATGTGCCCTTAGGGTGTACAGTAGACAGCGTGACTTCGCTGTCGCGCTTCGCTCCTTCCCCGCCCCTTGGAAATTCCAACGTTCAAAGATAGCCTTGGCATTGAGAACTTCCTTCCTTGGGACATTTGCAACACCGCGGGCGTGAGGATTAATTAGAGGAAGGAAGTGAAAGGATTCACGGTATTGTTCTAAATAGTACCAAGAGATGACCAAAGTTGTGATGGGTCGTAGGCCGCAAAGGAATTTATTTTATATATTATCCCATTACGCATTACCGGGCCGCTAGAAATAGGTCCAGGGGCCGCGGGTTGCACATCCTTGCTGATCTAAATTTGGGCTGATGGAGAGCTTTTATTTTTCCTGTCAGATCCATGTCCCTTTTTACTTGACGTGTTTCTTTCTCCTGCTTCTCTCGTGAAAGTCTTTGGGATTTCCGCCATCCATTTCTATCGTGAAGAAGATAAAACAAGGTTTTGGAAAGCAATCGAGACGTGAACGATTCCGAAACGTCGGGCCAACCTGCTCGTGCTCGAAATTGCTTATTGTCCCTCGAATGTCCCTGTGTCCCTCGAATGCGACGTCGTATGTTCGGTATGGTCACGGGTCGTCATTTCTCACAGGCCCAAGCAGCTCTGCTATACGACAGCGTGGAGGCATTGGCCCGAGGCCTTCGCAAGTTCTCGGAGGCGTCGGTGCTGAATCGGCCATCGATCTCCTGTCGCGATCGGAATCCTCCGACTTGGTCCCTCGGTTCCGAAGTCTTCCAAAGCATCAACCAGGTGAGATTCGCGTTACGTCGTGCCCAATACAGGCCAACCTCTGGGTATGGCTCATCTGAGGAGCAGCGAATTATGTGTCACAGTTTTGCCGGTTCGGAAAATGGTTCGCTTCAAATCTTTTCGACTGTGAAATGCCCGTAAAGAGATTGTATGACGTGAGAGCCGAAACGAGTCGCAACTGGATCCTTAGATCTGCTTCTTGGAATGCAACGAGACTATTTCAAGGTACATTTCTCCAGATCGAGTTTGACGGCTTGACGGGTCCGGTGAAGTTCAAAGACGGCCAGAGATCAACGCTCAAGTTGGATATCCTCAAACTGAGACCGGAGGGACTGGTCAAGGTCGGAGAATGGAGACATGACAAGGGAATCAACGTCTCCACCGAATTTGCCTTTTATCACGGCCGAGCGCCCAATGTCACGCTCCGAGTCACCACCATGCTCGTATGTTGCATGTCGCGTACACGTCTATGGACTGCTTTAGAGCAGCGCTCTATTTATCATCCGTTTTAGGAAGTGCCATACGTGATGCTGAAAGAGGACTCGAATGCAACCGGCAACGACCAGTATCAGGGTTTCTGCATAGATCTCCTCAAGCACATTGCTCAGATGCTTCGGTTCAATTACATCATCACCCCGGTGAAAGACCGCAAGTATGGGGTCTACGACCCAGAAAACAAAACTTGGGATGGCATGGTTCAGGAGCTCATCGTTGGCGTACGTATCCAATGATGGAACGATTTAAAAAAGCCATTTATCTGTCTATATTCGGTAACTGAGGTGAACTTGGATGATAGGAGGCTGACCTGGCGGTTGCTGCCATGACCATCAACTACGCCAGGGAGAGTGTCATCGACTTCACGAAGCCCTTCATGAATCTCGGAATTGCCATTCTCTTCAAGGTAAGCTCAGTTTTGGTTCCATAAACATACATATATTCAGAAACAGAGATGAGGTAGAACTGCAGTGCGCTGTAAAAATCTGAATTATAATTTACGCTGCTTTCTAGTTCTAGCCGCTAGTCATTCCAATTTGAACCCAGCATGCAACATTTTCTTACCAACTTGAATACCTCGTTATTGACAAAACCATTCTTCCCCTGTCCCTCTCCCTTCTCTTCCTCTTTCACTATCACCCTTTCTGACTTTCCGGAATGGTTTTCCACTCTTCGCATGCAACTATCTCGTTGCTGCCATTTCTACTATCTCCATGCATCCGTGCTTACGTTGCTGCGATCGGCCTGCATACTTCTCGTGGTCTTTGCTGTGATCTCGTGCTGCTGCAATTTGCGTCCTTGCGTGGTGGTCTGCATGCATTTCCCGCTCGATCCGCATGTCGACTCTTCCGCCAATCTGCATGCTGTCCGGACGTGGGGCTTTCCGTGTTGACGTCTAGATTCCCACACAGTTGCCGACGAGCCAGCCCACGCGATTGTTCTCGTTCATGAACCCGCTGGCCATCGAGATCTGGCTCTACATCATGGCCGCCTACATCTTGGTGAGCTTCGCCATGTTCGTCATGGCCAGGTTTTCTCCTTACGAGTGGAACAATCCCCATCCGTGCAACACGGAGTCGGACGTTGTGGAGAACCAGTTCTCCATTTCCAACTCCTTCTGGTTCATTACCGGCACCTTGCTCAAACAGACCTCTGGGCTTTCTCCAAAGGTGAGCGAGCTTCAGTTCCCAATTTTTCTCTGTGAAAAAATTTGAAAAAGATGCAGCTCTTCCAACTTCTTTTTCACTCGGCATCAGAGATTCAAGAGTACAATTCTTATTCAAAGCTCCAAGCAATTATGCGGGTGCTGGAGAAGAAGGAATCAAACTGGATCAAAGAATCAAAAAGTGATCGTAGACAATTCAGCAGGCCCAGGCCCTGCTCGTCAGGCTTTCCGAAACACCCCCTCCCCCCTTCCCTCCCCTTACCGCGAGTCAGTCGAAGGGGAGGGGTGGGCATGATGAAGTGGCCACTTCACAAAGGAGAGCGCCGAGCAAATCGGATGACCAAGTTAGAGAGACTAAAATGCGGGACGAGTGAGATTGACGAGTGGGGGGGGGGAATGCTAAGAAGAAACTGACGACCGAAGAGGGTGGAGGGGGGGGGGGAGGCTAATACTAGGGCTAATAAGAAAAATATACACTTTTTTCTTTACTCATTTTTTGTTTGTAGGACCCAGGACCCTGCAATTTTCACCAACCAAACATGACTTATGTTAAAGTCATCAGAAACAACATTGATTGGAACATTATAGGAACACCGCAAGAATAGCAGCAGCCAATAAAGCCAGAATGGGATCGTCTGGTTTTCCTAATCGACCATACTGTTGATTTTTTTTATTATTTCAAGCTCAGCCCAGTCCGACCCGAGGAGGGAGACTCATCGAACGATTTATATCTCGAAAATTCACACTTGGAGCTGAACTTATCATTAACCTATTCGCAAATGATTTGATGGTGAATGAAAACTTCTTTGAAATGCGAATTGGTAGCAACTCGCTAAATGCATTGACAAGATGTTCCAAGAATGCTGATGTACTCCTATCTAGTAATGATACAATAATCAATTTGATGCAAGAAATTATTAAGCAAAGATTGACCTGTTTCGGCTAAAAGCTGTCATTGTATGCCCAGGCTCAGTTGAATGCTGACAGCTGCCAGCCATTACTTTAAGTGGGAGGGTTAAAAAACGTAGCCTTCACCAAACATCCTCTCACATGACTTTGATCTCGAAAGAAATGGACGGTATCAGATTTACAAATGCAGCCTTCCGTCAAGTTTCATATTCATTTCTGCTCACAGTATTGTCTTCTACTACAGCAAGACATTCGATTGATTTGCAGGCCGCATCTACTAGACTCGTCGGTGCGATCTGGTGGTTTTTCACCCTCATCATAATCTCATCGTATACGGCGAACTTGGCAGCATTCCTTACCGTCGATCGGATGATCACTCCGATCGAAGATGCAGAAGATTTGGCAGAACAAGATGACATCGCCTATGGCACTCTGAAGGGAGGCTCCACTGAGACCTTCTTCAGGGTCGGTTAACATTGTATTCGGCCTCTTCAAGAGTCCAAAGGAAAATCTAGGTCAAACGAGAGCTATCTTTACAGGACTCCAAGCTGGAGACGTACGTGAAGATGTGGAAGTTCATGGAGAGCGCCATTCCGTCCGTCTTCGTCAGCAGCTACGAGGAAGGAGTAGAGAGAGTGCTAAAGGGCAATTACGCCTTCCTCATGGAGTCCACCATGTTAGAATACATCGTTCAGAGGAACTGCAACCTCACGCAGGTCGGGACACACCTAGATTCCAAAGGATATGGAATCGCTACTCCAATAAGTGAGTGACAAACTTTCTAACTCTCACCATATTGATGAAATAAATGATATGCACTTGTTTGCGGTTCCTTTGCATTTCGCATTTCGTACTCGGGTAACTGTTATGTTCCGTATTTTGTCTGTTTCCCATGGCGTTCCTAAATATTGACACGACACGATGATGAGGTCGTTCCTTTTGTGGATGCAGACAGTCCTTGGCGAGACAAAATATCGTTGGCCATCCTGGAGCTGCAGGAGAAAGGGGTGCTTCAGATGCTTTTCACCAAATGGTGGAAGAACACGGGCGACACGTGCAACCGGGACGACAAGAGCAAGGACAACAAAGCAAACGCTCTGGGCCGCTCCAACATTGGCGGCGTCTTCGTCGTCCTCATCACCGGACTCACTTTCTCCATCATTGTCGCCATGTTGGAGTTCTGCTGGGTTACTCGACGGAACGCCAACAGTTCCAAGGTTTCCCAACATCTCTCTTCCTGCACACAGTTTTTTTTTACAGACTTTTTTTTTGCTTGTGGCGCACCTGTTTCTTGATTCCAGTTCACTCTAGGAGGTGGTCCCTTATTGAGACATTTAAAAATCATTCGAAAAGAGTCACTATCTCAGGCCACCTCGCAAAATTAGCCATAGACAAAATATTGCATTCGGTCACTCCTTGCAATCCTCTTGACAAAATCAATCGATTTAGCGTCAGAATTGCAGCAAAATAACTCCCGTTCATCGTGTGCGATTTTTCTTTTGGATGCAGCAACCTATGTGCCGAGAGATGAAGGAGGAGCTAAAGATGGTGCTACGTTGTTCGGGGTCTCGACCCAGGCCGAATGCCATCAAGAGATCCTGTTCCCGCTGCATGCCTTCTTCCACTTATGTCCCCTCTGCCGGAGATCCTCACCAAGTTGGTCCACTTTATCGTTGTCAATATGGAGTTTACGAAATCAAAGCTTGAACGGATATAACACCGAGAACGGATGTGGGCAGGACCTGCAGTCAGGCTTTTTTTCGTGGCCGGACGGAGAATTCCATGATTACTGAAGCCAATTTTATGACGCCACGATTCTGGACTTGAGTGGACTCAGTCGGTTTGGTCCACTCACCAAACGAACGTGCTCGAATGATAGGTCCCGTCTCTCAACTTCTCCCCCCCCCCCCTGCAGCAGAGGTTGAATGGCATTCATTTTGAACCTATTCTCTGATCGTTATTGATGTGTTTAGAAAGTAGGAAGATCATGGAACTATAAATACCGAATGATAATCGGGAATCCTTGAGAACTGGCAGAGACCAGGAAAGTAGGACGAGCCTGTTTCCTATCACCTTTCAGTTTGGCTGAGTATTTGTGGAAATAGTGCATCCGGAAATGGGCTACTCGTGATATTCGGCAGTAATGGCTCATCAATAAAAGTAGAGTAGGGGCGTGCCTACCTTCAATGACGATCCACTACTGCTGAATATCGCGAACAGCCCATGTCTGGATACCGTTCTTCACAGTCGACGGAAATGGAAATGTGAGACAAGGAACAACAATGGGGACACAAAATCAATGCAGACGCATTATCCCGGAGAAGAGAAGTATAGGCCTGAGTCGTACGACTTCAGGAGAGAGAGGGGCTATTTACGTAATAGTGCAGCATTATTTATTTACGTAATACGCTCGTAGCTTGTTGCGAGTCATCATTCATGGCATCGTCCCTTCAGGGACGAGATTCCGCAAACTCCCTATGTCCAGAAGGCCTCTTTCCTTAAACATAGTGTCCATGAAGTGACTACCTATGGGCAACTTCTCTATTATAGACCCTTAAGTAGCCATTTTTTTTTTACTTTTGTAGACTAACAACGTACCGACCTCGGAATAGTGTCAGATCATTTCTCCTTCCACATTGGCACGGCCGAGAATTAATTTCCCACACCTGATGTTTTATTAATTATATATATTATTTAAATATTTGAATGGAGAGGAAATTCAGAAAACGATTCTTGGAAAATTTGCAGTTCGACCGTATTGCAGGAACTCCTTGAAGTTATTATATATATTATAGTTATTATAGTATATATTGACTGAATGAAAGAGCGTTTTGGGAATTCATAATCATAAAAATTAGGAGTTTACTCGGCAAATTGGCTCAATCTGTCGACCACCGATTTCCAGACATTTCTGACAATTGGCAATTTTCAATCGGCAAATTTTCCAGGCAATTGCATTGTCGGCAACATCCATGAGAATTCCATCACTTTTCTGGCACATGCCACGAGAGATGCTCTCTTTCAAATTGTTCAGGTCTGTGGGCTTGTCTTTATAAACAATGTATTTTAAATAGCCCCAGAGGAAAAAAAATCACAAGGGGTCAAAATCCGGAGATCGTGGAGGCCATTTGCTCTGGCTGACGATTCGGAATGCTACACTCCATGTCTGAACTTTTAATTGAAACAAGGGTTTGGTAAATGAATTCTCAGTCACATTAGAGTGTAGGAACAAAAGAAGTGACGTCATTCCGAAGTATAATGATAAACAGCCTACAAAAATACAAAGTTAGTTCCCCCAGATTTAGTATGAAAAAAGTTGTCCTTAGGTGCCATACCTTATGGACACCCTGTATTTTGCTAGGATTGAAATCGGGTAATCAGAAATTCTTCATTGTTTCAACCGAACTCACGTGTAATAACCGTTTTATTGCAATAATCGCCACAACTGGGGCTAAAATTTTCGCAAGTTTGCAATAATTACTGCAGGTATTCAAATAGAATGTAATCATTTGCGATTCTTTACAATATGCAGTCATATCGTGAAGTAGGTGCAAACCATTCTTCAGTGAATTGAACCTAATTGATGCAAAGAAATGTGCTCATTCCACTGTGCATCCTGCAACAGTTGAAAAGTTTATACCATACAAGGAATATTACATTTTCTCAGAGCTATTTCAGTTTTTTATTCCTGAACGAAATCTAGTCACATGTGAAGATGTGATATTGATTGGGACGATGTGGGTTTTCAGGGGCTCGGATAAAAACGTGAAATTAGGACTCCATACGTAATGTGAATATTGAACTCTTGGTCTGTTTTCCATCGATTGTATCTTCAACGTGTACCTTTTTTCTGCAGGAAAACGGGATCATGCCGATGTTCGAGATGCATCGCTCGTCCATCATGCAGTATGACTTTGATTCATAGTGCCAGACTTTTTGCTCCGGTTCATTTCAACTGGAAATGTGCAAATCATGTCACAGGCTTGCTCAGCCGCTCTTGTTTATTGTGATGAATAAAGTTGACCTGAAAACAATGAAATATAATGTATATCGTATAAATTAGTTTGGACTTAATGCACGATGAGAATATGTCCAACGTGCAATGAATTTCTATTATACTATATTTGTGATGATACAATTGGAAGCTCTTGGCTGCCTCTAAGTTCAGGAACTCATATTTTCCATTCAGTAATTTGATGCCATCTCAAGTAGACTCGGAAGAAAACGACATCTTAGATGGGATGCGGGAGACTGGGGTACAGAGTGGAAAATGTTTGTAATCTAAGTACACCACTGAGGACACCACTGGCAACAAGAAAAGATGATGGCTCTCTTCATTTTTCAAGAGTGAATTTCCCACAGAGTATTGAAATTTCAAATGCCAAGTACCCCAATGTACTCTTCCCATGAATACATTTGGATGGGTTACTGACTAATTAAGACACTCTCTTTCAATAAATCACAGGTCCCAAAGAAGCATGCTTGTTCATGTTGTGGGCATCCAGCATGATTTGATATGAAAAAATAAAGTGACTTCGAGTAACTTATTACTACTGAATCTGAAGCGATCATTTATTTTGTGCCCTTGGATTATCTGTAGACCTTGGAATGTCACTCCTTTCCAGTGGCGTAGCGAGTTTGCTTTAGCCTCCCCAACTCTGGTCTAAATGCGTCCGACAACCCCCCCCCCTCCCCCCTCCTTGGCAAATACCAGGGAACGCCACTGCTCTTTTCCTCCTTTTACTCGCACTTTGGTGCAACTGAGAAAGAATTTTTATTTTTCTTATTTGAGTTAAGCAAACCGACGAAGTCCTTCAACACGTTTTCCTTTGATACCTTTACAAAATTCAACTTCAATGGGCATGCTCCTCGAAATTCCATGTGTGGAACAAACGGGTCTTCCAACGCTTGGTGGTAATTTTCTCGCTTCATATTTCTCTTTAAAAAAAAGTCTAAATTCTGACATCCGAGAAACTGTACACAAGGCTGTAACTCTTAATGAGTGCAGATGCTTCTCAGTACTCATAGTTTTCTTCTCATCAGAATCTCATATTTTGACTCGTCCATGCTAATCGAAATGAATTTCGTCGGAGATATTAAAGTTTTAAAGGAAATCACTTTTACCATCCTGTTGCAAAAGCCATCTGCGATAATCATTTCTCTTCTGGAAATATGGCTGCAAGATACGGGTTGAAGCATTTTGTCGGCTTGCTTAAACCCTAGCACGAACCACAAAAAGTAATTTTTAGTTACACCAAAATGAAAGGAGGAAAAATGGGAAATCATTCCAAGGTCTGCGGATAGTCGGTCTCCGCACGCAAAATCCAGTTACTTCTGGTTCAATAAGAGTCACCCATAGATAGTCACTGTTTACTAACTCCATCTTCCATCTTCACATTAATTAAGGTCATAGAAACAAGAAAGGTCCAATTGAAAGGAAATAACTCGCCATTTTCTAATCTTGTTAAGGTCTTCAAGCGGTTGGCTGAGATTCATAAATGCTTCAGTATTTCAGCTTCATGCTAAATTCCATGCGGCTCCAAGTAGTTTTAGGCAAGCAAAAATCCAGTGCCCCACTTCAAACTCCGAACTCCCAAATCCAAAACACCAGATCAAAAATTTGAGGATTTTGCCATGAAACTTGAAACCTCCTTATATAATTGACTTGAAAAGCCAAAAGCAGAACTATTTTAGTGGCAGAGCTCAAATACTGATTTTCAAAAGAAGATATGCAGTATTGTTCCACATGCTGATGAAGGATTTCAGCAGTACCTTCACACTGACACTCCAGGATTTCAGATAATCACGTAAATGATAACTACATATTTGTAAATATGAATATCATGTTATCTTAGGGTGTCATAAATGCTAAGTAATCACTTGTCATGCTTCAAACTATGCGTGAGCATTACGACCTTCTAAATACTTCTAAGTACTGGAAAAATTTTAATAATAATATATATTTTTTCGTGAAGTCAAATTTATGATATTACGAGCTATTGCTGATGAAGATTCTTTTGACGTATAGATTATATTAAAAAATAAATAAGTATTAAGGTCATTCCAAACGAACTCAACGAGGCAATGCACTAGACCATCTCCGATTTCTCGATTGTTGTTATCAACTATAGCAGCCCAATCTAAAAGCTCCATAAAAATATAACAATAATCTCCCCCTCGTATCCGCATTTAGCGAGATATCGCTCCCTGAACTTTGAAAACCCCGGAAAACTCCAGAATATACCCTACCCGTAAGAAAAAATACGGTAGGAATCCTAAGAGTTTTTTTTAAGCATAAAAATCTTACGGGATTTCCAAGAAATTTTTTAATACAAAAAATCGTTTAGAATTCCAATAGACTTTTCGTACGGGCATGGACGAGCATGAACGGGCATGGACGGCTATCTCAGGAAGCGTTCATCGTTCAGAGGCATGCGATAGACTCAACAGATGAAACGTAACATGTCCCCTATACTAAAGAGTCTATTTGAGGGGGCCACTTTTTTGAAAGCCATTTTTGAAAGCCACGCCACTTTTGAAAGCCGTTTGTATCTCTAATCTCTACTTCCTGGGGAATCCGATAAGATTTAAGTGTTATCAGCCTTATCATATTTCTCGCGAGACCGAAGAACTTAAATGTAACATTAATAGCTATGTGAGGGTCAGGAGACAGCACTGTATGGCACGCACGAGGTCGGCACCAAATTATGCACTCCTTGGAGTTTTCCTTGGCTGTGCTCTCTTCCTACTGCTTCAATTCCTCTTACGTGAGTCCAGGTTCTTTTTATTTTAACATTTTTGGAATTCTCTCGCTTCTACGAGTATCATCAACGGTGATGAGCCGAATTTACTGCCGCTTCGCAAAGCGACGAGGAACGACGCCAGGCATCACGCCGCTGTTAAATGCAGCAGCACGATGGGTAGGCCCACCGTCTGCTTAATGAAAAGGAGTTGTGACCGGTCTGTCGTCGCGGGTATTCGCGTGGCTGTCCGTACACCGAGTGGCATCTCGGCTCGGGAGATTGCGATGCGTTGCAATCCCCCACCCCACCCCGGATTATTTCCTCAATTTTGCGTGCGGTTGGGGAATGTCATCACATAATGTACACTATTGCATCAGGTATATGGCGACGACTCTCTGCAGAAGATTTCCAAGAGTAAGTAGTGGAGCCGTTGAATGCAGGTCGTAAAAGCGTGAAGGAAAACTACTTCACGGGGCACCCATCGGCAGCCGTTACAGATGTCGACTTCAGCAAGATCTACGTTATTCGGTAACGTCTGAGTATTTTTTCAGCCGATGCTATATGCTTGGTACAATGTCGTGTACATCTCAGAGGCGACTTTCATCAATTTAGCACAGAAGTGATGAGACCGCTGCTGACAGTCTTCGGACGTATCGTTTGAAAAGTTTAAAAGTCTGAAGGCAGGAATTCTTGAGATATTTTATCTAGGACAAGGGTCGGGAACCTTTTTGGCCATGTGGGTAGGATCAAGATTGAGCTAGGTGCTTGTGATCGAAAGATTTTCAGGGCAAAATAATTTTTCCTGAAGTTGGCAACATACATTTGCATTCTTTGATACATGAGAAAAATGAGGAACAACCATGGTTTTCAGCCATGCCTCAATGAGCCAAATTTAGCTCATGAGCCGTAGGTTCCCGACCCCTGATCTATGAGAACGACACGACTTTTGGGATGCCCCTACTGCACAGTTTTTGCTCTAAGGCAGACTGCATTTTCATCCTCTAAGCTCGTCGTAAGAGCTCTTCTGTATTCCTTTTACTAATGGAGTCCTTGATTACCTTGAAGACCGTGTGGTAAATTCATGCTTCCTCAGTTCATCATTTCGCGATAAAACCACTCGGGAAGAACTTTTCAGTACTGCTAGAAGTGCATTTGAGACTGGAAAGACAGAACTTCAAGGCGGGACGAAGCCATAGATGCATCACGTGTCGGAATATGGTTCTCAGGTCTTTTACTGTTGGTCGTACTGGCCCTTCGGTATCACCTTCCTAAAAATCCCTTCCATAGGTTTTGAAATGGTCGGTACAGTGAAACCTGTGTTATACGGTCACAAGGGGGGCTTTCTAAATTTGGCCGGTTCTGACAGGCGGTCGCCATAAAGAGGGCAATCCACCCCCAATCCCCCCCCCCCCCCCCCCCCCCCCCCCCCCCCCCCCCCC